ACGTCTTGACAACAAATTCTTACGCTTTAATTTGGAACCACACATACCTGATGGCCATTGTAGACACTTCCTGATGGTGTCTTTGCTCCAATCCTCCATGTTTATATGAAGACAACGCTTGCCCTTGAAAGCCTGAAGCCAGGTCTCGTGGTCAATAGTTTAGAAAGTTTAAAAAGCCTTTATTTTCTCATGGCGGTAAAAATAAACATTAAAGGACAACTCACCCTCAAATCCACTTTTTTTTGCTGATAAACGGTAGAAATGAGTGTCCAATAGTGTTGTCTACATATCCTGGTCATAATCTTGTCACTTTGGTGCAAATTAGTTGAAAGTTAGACTTTCTGCCTAAAACCGTCTGTGAGGCGCCATCTGCTGGCGACCTGTATTACTACATTTGAATTTTGAATCTGGCGCCAACACTGGCACAGAAGTTGGACCTGACGTCTGCAAGTTGGACCTGACGTCAGCAGCCCCCGCCCAGAGCAATGTAAACGGCCTAGTCTCGTTCACGCCCCCTTTAGTCCTCCAGGCTACGCCCATTTAGAGGAAGATTTGAACAGGAAATGTGAGTGACGTAAGCTCCGAGGAGCGGGGGTGAGAACCACTTTAAAATACGCACCAACTTGTTTCAGCCTAGCTTGGCCTTCTTCGGGGTGCCTGTTGCTTCTGTATTTGTGGTTAGCCACAACAACCATAAATGCGGCTACCATGGTATTTGGATGCACTAATTTGTGACTTTCTGGTGCTAACAACACACAAACTCAAAGTCCATAGCTAAAGCAGATAATTAAGCAGTGATCCAAGTGTTGCTGATTTTTTTAAAGAATATTTTTCATTCTCCAACATTAGCTTTGTAAGTTTACAGAAATTACTTTTGTGACAGAGACCAATTTCCTCTCTGTATTTCCTCGAGACAACCGAAAACAATTGTCTTGTCTTTAACAAGTCACAAGGGTTTCTTTTTTCATATATAGAGATATAGAAAAGTAGAGGTAATAAAAATACTTTTAAAAACTTTTTAATTGTTCAAGGTCATTTGAATGTATTGTGCAAGTAGGCTTTGTATAAAATAGGCTCCTGTTATCCAAGTACATCTTTGAATAGACTTTGAGAGGGATAAATACGATGAATACATCACAATATTCTTTAAGGCTGAAGAGCTCGCTCACTCTCACACACACACGCACGCACACGCACATACACACGCGCACATACACACACGCACACGCACACATACACACTTCAAATAGATAACAAACGGAGCGGACTGTGGAACATTTTCCAACCAGTGCTATTACTGATACTCTAAATTCACCTGAGGGCATACTGTTAGTACAATCGCTTTGAAAATAAAATAAATAAATATGACTTACACCTCATTATATGTTTATTTTTTGGTTATTCATCTGTCAGAGGCACAAAACAAACACATGTTTGTTTTGTAACAGGTAACATCATGTAATGTAAAAATCATCTTTGCAGTTGCGTCACGTGCCGTTTCCTCGTCTGTTCTATAGGGCTTCACAGAGTTGGCAAAAGATATTTTCTAACAGATGGTTATGATAGATTTTATTTTCAGAGAGCACATTTACAGAAGACTTAAATAAGTTGATCGAAGAGAAGCCGTTAAAAAAGGTCAAAAAGGTGGTTTTGAACTTTCTCAAAATAAAAAGTTCCTGCTTTGATAAGCTATGAGATCCTTTATTTTTTCTGCACTGGGGACTTCTTATAAATAGATGTAGTAGTGAAGTCTAGCAGTTCCTGTTTTACATACAGTTAGAAAATGGAATTGCTCACATGAAATAGTAGTAGTAGTAGTAGTAAGTAATCTTTATTTATATACCGCCTTTTCACTGCAGATCTGAGTCTCAAAGCGGTTTACAATTGTTAATTTTGGGCATTTGTCTCTCACTCCACACAGAGATGGGAGCGGGGCCAGTACAGGAGGCGCATGCCAGAACTATTGAACGTATTTTTAGTGGTAGGGGAAACCGGAGTACCCGGAGGAAACCTACGCAGACACGGGGAGAACATGCAAACTCCACTCAGAAAGGCCCTGGTCTGACCGGGATTCGAACCCAGGACCTTCTTGCTGAGAGGCGAGAGTGCTATCCACTCAGCCACCGTGCCGCCCGAAATAATGAATACAATTCATGTTTCTTCCTCATATGGCAATTCTAATGCATAAGACACTTATAAAGACATTTGCATATTTTATGTTTACCTAATTAGGCCCGAGCCCCGACTGGGGTAAGGGCCTTTTGCTTTCATGATGGTGAATGCAAGGGGTCGCGGCCCGTGACGGACGCGTCAGTGCTCTGTGTGCGTTTACTCAAATGCTTTAAAATGATGCATCATGTGCCACATCCCATAATAACACTCTGAATACCGCGGACACTGCGGTATTCACTGTGTGAGATGTCGACAGAGCAGGAAGGCTTTCAATTCAAGTTTAAAAAGATTTTTTTACGTGACCGCGGGGCACTTGTTTTGTTTGCTGAATGAAATTAAAAGGGATCTTGCATCCTCGCTGTCCAGAGCGGCCGCAGCTGCCCCGGGTCAGAACGCTGCGGCCGTTCTGGACAGCAATTCCCACCTCCGGTGGCTGTGAGCCGCTTTGACAACAACATGGTGAATGCCGCCGCCGTAACGTGATCATATCAAGATCATATCAAGATCCCTATTCCCTGCTCGTAGTGTGCGTGTCTGTGACGGCCCCCTCTGCTGGTGCTGTAGAGGCAGCGTATTCATATTATTATTCTGATAAGGAGGGACGACAGGAGGCGGCCAGATGTTTTAAAAACCAGCTTCCTTAATCTCGCTCTCTCTCACCTGGCTTCAGGCGGTTGGTGTTTAATGTGCAAGCATTGATCTCGGGGGCACTCCGTGGAACTGTTTGCTCCACTGGTTACGTGTTTAATATTCCCGCTACTGAACCACGTGAAGAGCAGAACGTTACTTTGAAAAAGTAATTAGTTAGAGTTACTAGTTACTTCTCCCAAAAAGTAACTGAGTTACTAACTGAATTACTCAACTATAAAAGTAACTAGTTACAAGTAAAAGTAACTATTGAGTTACTTTTTTGTTTTTTACGATTTCACAGTGACACTTGTTTACTGTTTTATTTGTTTTATTTCCAATGGCAAATAAACGGAATTTGAATCTGAATCTGATTCTAATGTACACTCCAGGTGCACATTTTTGCCTTTAACCTCAGTGAGTTTGAAATATTGCCGATATTTCCATCTGGAAAAGGCTGTTTTGCTGCTGGAGTCCTCCTCACTCTCCATCTCTCTCTGTGTGCTTTAAGCATTAAACATCCGCCACTGTGAATGCGAAAACACCAGTGACGTGCAGTAAGTAAGGACAGTCTTGCTGAGAAGCAAGAGTCCTATCCACTAAGCCACCCTGCAGCCCACCGTGGTAATAATTAGGCTGAGAGATGATTGGCTGAGGGCGGGTGGTCCTACCTCTTAAAAATCCAGTTTAAAGCTGTGACAGATACCAAAATTACATACATGGGAAAACTAGTGAAAGAAGCACTAGTTCTTAGAGCGAGGAACTGTATAGAGTTTATTAATTTTTTTGCACTTTGAAAGTTAGGAACTCAATATTCAAACTATTCCCGCCAAATAAAAAACATGTTAAACTACTACCTCTTCTAATTAAATAAGTCATCAGGCAATTTACATACAGTATGTCTCATAAGATAAGAGAAGATAAGAATTCCTTTATTCGTCCCACAGTGGGGAAATTTCAATGTTGCAGCGCACATACAGGACAGTCAGAGCACACAGGGAGCACACACAATATATACAAATAAGTAGTAGCTATGTTTCTTAACTATCAAATTCAAAACCATTCAATTGATTGCCATCGCTACGGTTACGCAGGCATAACAATGTTCATTACGTCGTGTTCTAAAGAATTACGTCGTGTTCTAAAGAACGCAACAGAACCCCGTAAGTTGCATTGGCAACACTTTCACACATTCAGTCATTCACTCTTCAGTCTCTGAGCTGAACAGACACATTGCAAATAGCTGAAAATTGTTTTCAAACATGGACAAACAAAAACGTGAACGCAACGCTGGGATTCCGGACTGTAAGGCAGGTCAGTGACAAGAAGAAAAAACACAAACTTCAAAGATCTCACAATGATTTTAACGTGGCCTCTAGTCCATGTGGAGACGGGCTTAAGCAGAAACACCCCCCGGATGATATCGCATTTCACTTTTCATTTATACATTTATTTCAGACAATGGCACAGAAAAGTACAAGATACAGATAAGTCGCATAGTGCAAATCGATAAGGACAAAACATAACAATATTATAGGAACTACTTTATCTCGAGCATGCGTACGGCACATGCGTAATGAGTAGTCTACTGATCTTTTTACTTGTAATGGCACCTGTTGGTTACTGGAGTTTGTTTCTGTTATTATGCGTTATAGTTTAAGTTATGTAAGAGACAAACACAACAGCTTTGTTCTACAAACTGCATACAGTGGTGGGTCAATGTTTTTTAATGAACCACTTTCCCTTCAGTGCTCTATGTAAAGTGCTTAATAAATAATAAAGGTGTAGTACCACCTTTCCGGTGGTACTACATTTGAATTTGGCCTTTCCATTGACTCTGTAATTCTGTGTGACATCAGTTGGTGTGTGTGACGTGTGTCTGTCTGCGCCAGTGGTATAAACCCATTCAACTCTCACACAAGCCCCAGCAGCAGGTTGGAGTATTCTGGCGACATCTAGTGGATTAAAATTAAAGTACATGAGTTGACAACCACTGCTGCTGATATAATTCAGTGACTTAGGTTCAGGTGTGTAGCTTTACAATTATCACAGTGTGTAAACAAGGATGGAATGAGACTTTCTGGTGTGTAAACTATTGATTTAAGCAGCAATGACAACTGTCTGTTTTTTTTTTTCTGGGACGAAGTGCCGCAGTCTCTTTAATCGACTTTTTTCAATCAGACTCAGAGATCCTGATTGTTATGGAGAGACCCAGCCCCTGCATGGACCTTCTGGAGTACAGCGTCCTACATGACCCTCTGCCTGAAAACACTGTCAGGGACATCATAAAAAAGCTGGTCCAGGCGCTGATCCAGTTCGACAAAAAGTGGGGTTTCCATCGCGACATAAAGACCACCAACATCCTGATCCAGGAGACTCAAGAGGGGCCTCGAGTTTGGATTGTGGACTTTGGATGTACAGTATTTGCGTCACCACTACACCGTGCACTCAGTACATAGGCACTGTGAACTACTGCCCTCCGGAGATGTTCCTCAGCCACGAATGCAGGGCGGGTCCCACGTCTGTGTGGCAGGTCAGGGCCATCGTCTATGAACTTCTCAACGGCGACGGAAACGACTTTGACGTCTTTGAGTGGCTCAACGGAGATCTGAGCCTTAAAACCAGCGAGGCGTCAGAAGAGGCAATAGACTTTATTCACACGTGTCTGAGCGTAGAGCCTGCAAACAGGATCCGCCTGGAGGAGATAGAGGGACACCCATGGTTTAACACCAGCATCATGGCTCCTTCATCATCTTCATAAACATTTATTTATTTATTGATTGGCCCGTTGGACATTGTTTTTTACTTTCTTTCTTGCCATTTGCAATTCAACGTTTAAGTCACAGGTAAGACATTGATTTGAAGATTTGAGTTTAGTTCTGCTCTTTATGTGTACTCATGACTTTTCTATTCGAGTAAAGTATCTCCCTCTGTTCAGCGAGGGAAAGATCTTCAGCTTGGGTGCATAAGGACCACATTTGACATTTTTGTTAGCCTTATGGGCATTTTTTTTTTTTTTATTTCACGGCGTTTGCACGTGGCAGTAGTTCTCTTGTTCATAAAGAACATTTATTTCTATATTTAGCCACAAGCTAAAGTCAACGTTAAAGTCACAGGTAAGACATTAATTTGGAGGTTTGAGTTCAGTTCTGCTCTATATCTGATTTACCTCTTGACTTCCAGTTGGCCTCAAGTGTGTCCTGTCAAGTGCGTCCCACGCGCGAACCTTTGAAAGTGCCCCAATAGAGAGCTAATCCTGCAAGGCGTCGGAAGAGGGAAAAGACTTTGTCCATGTGTGTTTGAAAGTACATCAGCAAACAGGAAATGCCTGGAGGAGATCTGTTAAGGCACCAACTCCACGGAACCTTCTTCACTAGTGCAGAGTCAAAGCCAGTCTTCAGCATCAAGCTTAGAAAGCACCATACAAGGAAGATCCAGGTTCTGCTGCTTTCAAAGTTACAGGTGAGACACTCACATTGAATGAAGGTTTGAGTTCAGTTCTGCTCTATATTTTATGTACTTAGGCTTTTCTATTTGACTTCCAGTTGGACTCAAAGATCCTTATCGTGATGGAGAGACCCTCGGCCTGAAGACTTGGCACATGGGCACTCTGGACTACTGCCCTCTGGAGATGTTCCTCAGCAGCAGATACAGGATGGTCAAGGGAGATTGAGGCCAACGCCTATGAACTTGCAGACCTGCAGACCCTTTGGCACAAACAAAAATAAATCTGCTACTGCTATCTTTGTGCAGTGTTTTAAGTCTTAACCTTATGACTCTATAGCTGGGCTGTCAAACCGGTTCCAGAAATGGCCGGTGTGGCTACATGTTTTTATTCCAACCCACAAATCTCCAGGTTAAAACTGGACTCACCATAGGAAGTGATCATTTCTGCTTTAGGCCCGGTTAATGTCGATGACACATCGATCGGTCTTATCTGATTATCTGAGAGCAATAACTGATGTTAACCCTATATTGGCGAGAGTGTAAGATACGACCCCTGCGCACATGTTTTATAAGTGAACAATTCTCATGAACGGTAAAAGATAGCAACTTACTTTTTTTTTATCTCCGTGAAGTTTACACGGTTTAAGTTTAAGACAAACTAGTTTAAGACAAACTAGTTTAAGACAAACTAGTTTAAGACAAACTAGTTGTCTTACGAACCTTAAACAAAAGCTTAATTTGACCCCCTGACCATGCATGAAATCTTGCAAAATGTTGACCAAATATCAGAACCGACAAAAAATATTTTTTTTTGTGTGTCTTTATATGGGACTCGAAAAATGCCAGAACAGCGCCACCAACAAAATTCAGTTTACATTGCGCCTGTGGAAGGGTGTCTGAGGTCAAGTTTGTCGTAAAGCCACAACATACGGTACCAGAAATGCACACAAGTCTCTGACCCACAAGTCCAAGTCCCTTGCCCAGGAGTCCAAGTCAAGTCCAAGTCTCTGGACCTGAAAGTCCAAGTCCAAGTCCACCCTATGGAGTCCATGTCAAGTCCAAGTCTCTGGACCCGCAAGTCCAAGTCAAGTCCAAGTCCCTAACCCAGAAGTCCAAGTCAAGTACAAGTCGCTGGACCCGCAAGTCTAAGTCCTTAGCCCAGGAGTCCAAGTCAAGTCCAAGTCTCTGGACCGGCAAGTCCAAGTCTCTAAAATGATGACCAATACAATTTAAAAGGACAAAAGTGCTAGTTACCATAGCAACACAATATTTTCTGACAGCCGTCAGCATTAGCCTTTCAAAAAACTATTTTTGCTGTATTTCAGTTATATTCACCAGCTTAATCAGTTACTTCTATTAAATCCTAGAGTTAAAACATGTAAAATAATGTGGAATAATTTCTCATATTGCGTTACACTACACAACATAGTTTTCATATATTTTTTAAAACTTTGCATCAGACACAAACGTGCAGACATTTAAAGGAGCAGGACAGAAACAAACTACACAAAGACTCACAAAGTTCAAGAGTCCAAAAACCACGAGCCTGAGTCAAGTCTCAAGTCTTTAGGGGACGAGTCCGAGTCAAGTCCCGAGTCTTTAGGGGATGAGTCCAAGTCGAGTTGCAAGTCTTTAAGAATTGCGGCTTAAGTCTTTTCTGACTGATGCAACGAGCCAAAGCAATTTCCTAGTCTGTGACTTCCTGTTACTTACATGGAAAAAAAAATTATAATTCTGATTCTGATTTTGAAAGCCAGATCCCAACAGATCTCTGAAGCTGGGTAGGACAGGGGGTTTGTTCTGTGATGGGAGACCTTTGGGAACACTAGGAACCACAGTGGGGTGGCTGTAGAGTTTTAACTGTTTTTCTTGCTTCTTTCAGTGTGCCCCAAGGCAGGCATGGCTACAGTAGTAGTTTAAAAACACCGTGTTTGGAGTGAAAGAATCAAATGGCAAAGCAACTTTCATTATCCAAAAAAGCACAGAATAAAACCAATGCTTTTAAAAATAATATATCTTAACAGGATATAATAAACAATTGTTGATTTCCAGGAGGTGAGCTCTAGGGTTTAATATTTTTCCCGAAAATGAGACGTATCAAATCCCGGGAAAAGACGGCGCGTTTCCCGGGAAATCCCGGGAAATAGCTGTTGTTTGTAGTTGTTGTTTTTAGCCCAAGTAATGTGTGATATCACTCAAATATATAATCCAACAAAAGCTGCCATCTCCACTAGTGTTTCACCAAGCGACGCGCTAGCTTTTCTAAAGTAGCCGTAGCGTTTTCAGACGTTTTGTTGATGGGCTTTCTTCAGGAATTTCACTATTATGAGATTCTAAATGTCTGCGCAATCCACTTGTCGACCAGTGACGTGCGGTGTGGTTTGGAGGCACTGACTTCAGCCCTGTCAGATGAACATATATCATATAAATCAACAGAACCTGCAGAGCGGCTTATTCACAATTAGTTTGGCTACAGCAGAATGTTTTCCATGGCCCGCATTGTTTGCTCAAACAAAACGCAAAAGTTTGTAAAAGGCACATTTCCAATTGTGTTATGGGTCTTACCTTAGTTATTAATGAACAGCACAGACCACTTCGGTTCAGACCAGTTTCATGTTTAAGTCCAGATAATAGTTTGAGCGCAGATATGTAATCCCCCATTTGGAAATAAGCCCAAAAAGTTTTAAAGCGTAAAACAAAACGGGTGCCACCTCCATAAACTCCTGTGTGTTCGCTGCAGCCGGCTCTCGGGCGCATCCAATTTCTAATATCAACCTTCTTACCCTTCTCCTCTCTTCCTTATCATTCCTATCGTCATTGTAAGTAGAACATTACCCCTAAATGCATTTTATATGATTTTAAAAAAGTGTTATCTGTATGTTAGCCAAACCTGTTGCTGCCCTTAGCAGATGGAAAAAAAGAAAGGAACTTTCTGATAGAATTGGACGTAACCAAATTCTGGGCTCACATGTGCCCCGTACCCTGAGCCTGGCCTCATTACAAGTCGTGGTTTAGCGCGATTAAGACCCATATTTGTTGTCAAAAACACAATTTATGAGCCATCCTCTCAGCTGTAGACATGTTGATTGTAAATGAAATATGTTTGAACTTTGAACAACAATACACGTGCTTTATAATAGGAGCGCACTGTATTTTTTTTTTAACTTTCATTTCCCGTTTCCCGTCATAACATTTCCCGGGAATCGGGAAATAGTTTTCATCAGATTTCCCGGGAATCCCGTATCCCGGGATTAAACCCTAGTGAGCTCATCTTGCAGCCTGACTCTCAGTGTGAACAACACAAACAACATGATCTTGCTGTCCCAGTCATTAACCATGTTATAAACCGGCCTCAAAATAATTGGCAATGTTCACAACCTTTTTATCCTTCTTTATTTTTGATTAGGCTGATGAGAAGAGTGCTTCTGTGTGTGGCTCACATAAAAGCTGACAAAGAGGGAGGCTGTGAAGAGGAGCCATCACTGTGCTGTGAAGTGTTCCGAGAGGCAGGCGGAGTGCGCTGATGAGCCCAGGGAGAGGCTACTCACACTGGGCATTAAGGCCGTCCCTGCGGGGGTATGGAAGGGGAGAGCTGAGAGATGGAAGTACTAATGCTTTGTTGTAGAAGAAAGAAAACAGATATAATGCATTATTTGTATTCATGTGTTTTGTCTCAGAATGTTAAATAGCGTCTTAGTTTATCTGTTATTATTAAAGATAATGTCTTAAAATAACGTGTTGAGTCCAGGGCAGAGTATCTTTCAGAGGCTTCCAATATGATACAAAACCTCAATTCTTTTTTCCTAAACAATACGGCTTTTTGGCCCCTTTCTAACGCTGTGACACCTATTCTTAGAACACTAATAATGCATTCATAATTAAATTATTAAAGTCTAAATCTTTAAAAAACACTTTTAAAGAAGACATTGAAAAAACCCCATCTACATCTCATTTAATTTATTTAAATATCTCTATCACTCAACTCACTACTGGTAAAAGTCTGATATACAGTAAATCGTCTGATGGCTAGAATACATGGTTGAATATATGTTTTAGGATGATGATATTACGAGGTATTTAACGGTACTTCACTGCATGATTTTGGTTTTTAATCACTTAAGTCTATTCATTATGATGGGTTTAGCAATAAGACCCCGGCAGGAATATTAGATATGATGTATGAACAATTCAATTCTCATAGTGGTGATGGGGAGGAGGGGGGTTGCAGCACAAGTTAGAGTACATGAAACGTACAAACTTCCATTAAAATAATGTGATCGAACAAAACTGTTATAGAGCAAGAAACTAGTTACA